GCAGCCAGCACACCAATTGCTGCTATTAGAGCTTCATCGATGGAAACAACAACTACTCAGTGCAGAGGGAACTGAGGCTGACCTTCAGCTCTTTCCTCCTCTCCTGAATTCACGAGGCAGCAACTCCAGACTATCAATGCAGCACAGAAGTGTTCAAGTGGCACAAACCCATTGCAAGAACAGCAAGACAAGCTGGTTTTCATCCATAGTAACCACAAGTGAAGCCTCGGTGCCTTCCCAAGCACTGAGCTCAACTGCACACAGCAGAGAACAGGAGTACTTCGAGTGCAGTTATACAGATTTAGGCATATTTCCTGTACTCATCACAACTCCCACTTCCTGTCAATGATAAATGCTACAACTGATCGCATCTGCTCTGCATTGCCTCTTTAATAACCCAAGCTTCTGGCTGACAGACAACTGCAAACAATCCCCCAAAAGACAGTTTCTCCTTGTTCTGAGTGTACCCCCAAAGACACTCTGGGTGTCTGCCTCAATACCAAAGAAGTTTCAAATACCTGCTTCCCAGGGCTATGCCTGCCCAGTTGTGATGGCTGTGAGGCTACTTCATGCCTCAGGTTCAAACTCAACTCCATAGCTTGGTAGGAAACATGCAGCCATTTCAGCCAGAGCTCATCCAGAGGGATCACCCATTGGTGCCACGGGCTGGAGAACCTCTTCAGCTTCCAAATCACAAAAGCACTTGAGCATCCTCTGACCCTCAAACTGTTTTGAGCAGGAGGCAAGTCAGAAGCCTGCTTTAGCCAGTGCCACTGATGCCAGGAAGGAACCATGAGGAGTAACATCAGTGCAGTGAGGTCCTTCAGGAGCCTGAGCTGTGACGAAGCCACTGCTCTGAGTGACCTGTCCCCTCCTGGCTCAAGCCAGTGAAGAACCCTGCTTTCACAGGATAAGAAAGCTCGACAAGAAGCAAGTTAGCAACTTGTTTTGCTGGAAGCAGCACTTTGCAGCTCTGGCTGCCACCAGGTTCAAGAGCAGCAGCAGCAGCCTGGAAAAGTTTCCACCTTTTAGAGTTCCTCCTCTGACCAGAGCTTGGCAGGGAACAGCTTTTGCTCGTTTAACCTTGTACTCCTTTCCCAGGGCAGTCTATCAGCTCTATCAGCTCTGCTGCTGTTCCAGGCTAACGCTCTGCACAGTAAATGCCACGTGAATCATGCCTCTGCCCAGTTATGACCTCCTGGAACATGATAGGGGTGATTCCCAGAGCAAAACAAGGAAACAAGCCTGGCGACATCCTCAAGTCTTGGCATGACCTAGATTTCACACATCTCGATTCATTTCTCCATCTGGTTGTGCTACAGGAGCTCAAACAGAATTAGGCAAACGTGTCTGTATGGCCAAGTGACCACAGAGAGCTACTGACCAGAGCAAGCAGCAACGCAACCAGAGACTTGGGCCACTTTTACTTCTGGAGAACCTGATCATCCCCTAAGGGTGCTTTGGAGCCTGGCTGCAGGGTTACAGGACTTCACGTGCGCATGAGAAGCTGCTGCATCTTCATCTTCAGGATGGTTGGGTGGAACTGGCGCAGTTCAGATGACCCAGGCTGGTCCCTGGGGTCTCGGGCTGAGCATATCCATGAGATCAGGGCGAGCAGCTCAGTTCTGATGTTCACAGGCAGATCCCCAGGAGAACATGGGGTCAGGTTGGAGCCACAGGTCAGTCAAACCAACCTAACTGCAGGGACACTGCGCCAAGGGGTGGAAGTGGCTCAAGGTGCAGCCTGTCCCAGGAAGGTGCCCGCAGCTCTGCCCTACCTGCCTCCTGCACCACCAGCTCTGCATCACACAGGCACATCACACACCAGCTTTGCTCCTGTGAACTGTGGGTCTCTTGGTTGCTTTGGGCAGTTGCGATGCCTGATGCTGTCCAGAACTCCAGGTCTATCACTTCTGTGGTTTCTGCTCCTCTCAGCACCTCCCTGTCTGACAGGATTTGGTGCAGGGGCTTGTGCACCCCACGAATGCTGAGCTCAAGGATTGGAGAGCCCTGAATGAGAAGGCTCATGTCAGCACTGCTGCACCCCCAGCCTCCCCGGGAGCAAGGCAGCTCTGCAGAGCCCTTGGGACGCTCGAGAACAGCACAAAAGCAGTTTCAGCCAATCCAGCCCAATACAAGAACCCCAATGTCCACAGCACAATTCCTGTCAGATGCCCACGTTAACCCTGCACAAGTGCTTTACAAGACCTTCCACCACAGGGGAACTGCCAGAAGTTACAGAATCTGATGGGTTCGCCCCGTGTCCCCCCAGCAGCAAGGAGTCCTCTGAAAGCTGGCGAGGGTTAGAAACCCAATCCTGAAGAATCCAGTAACCCAAGAGGGCTGCTTCTGCTCTGAGCTATGCAAGAAGCCATTTCAACAGGGATTCGTTGGCTTAGAATCAAACTCCTCAAGACAAAAGCCCCACTGAAGTATTTATCTTGTTAAATAGCTGACAGTGTTACATGAATTCCTTGGCAAAGGAAGCCCTGAAGTTACTGTGTGGTTCTGCTTCACCTCACACCGAATGGGCAGCCAGCCACCGCCCGCAGGAAGCTTGTGCTACCTTGCTCCCACCCAGGGCTGGAGAGCAGCTTTGGGACCCAGATTCACAAGCATCTGCCAGGAGCAGGGCCAGCAGCAAGTGTGAGACCCACCAGGACAGCACAGGGTGCCAACCTGAGCATCCAGCACACCGTGATTAACAGAAGTATACCCCAAAAGCCTACTGTGGTAGGGTCCACACTGCAGGGGAAAGGGTCCCAGACCCAGCTCTTAGAGATGAACCAGGAAACAGGTCTGAAGACCTCAGGCCCTCAGCCCTGCAAAGTCTGACCAGTTTTAATACTTCATCTTTCTACAGACAACACACACTTCCCTCCACAAACAAAGGGCTCGGTCTCTGGATCAGCAGGGCTGTAACCTGGAGCTTCAGTGCAGCTCTGAACTGGGAACTACTCATTGCAGTTGTCAGGAGCTGCACTACAACGTTAAAGTGGAGATTCACAGACATAAATCAGCTCAGACAGCACCTGCAGAAGTACTCCCATAGCTGCTACACTATCATAAGGTAAAGTCACAACTATTCTATAGAGTCTCATGCCCAAACCTCCCAAAGACTTGGGTGCACTCATTTTATTTTGGAGCTAAATAGGATTCACATTGCCAAAAAGTTAAATTACTTCTTGTTGGTAGCTACAGCCCTGAACAAGTATAGTAAGATCTGTAATCCCAGCTCCTTCCCATGCTTCTGATACACACATCTGCTTCCTGACACCTGCAGAGCCACGGCCTCCAAAGCAGCCCCAGCAGCTCTTCAACAACAACTCTATCTGAACCTTCAAGGCCACCAGGCTGCAGACTCAGCCCATCAAGAGCCTCTGTGCAGGGAGCCTGCAGGATGGCCCCATGCGCTTGGGTGAGATCACCTGGAGTCCAGGTCAACTCTGAACACACAGGGAGGCCCTGCTCACTTTGAGGCTAAACCCCACTTGCTAGATGTCACCTGAAAGCAAAGCCAGGAGCACTCGTGCATCCTCCAGAGCTGATCTGCCTCTTTGGAAGATCACAGCCTGCATGACTGAGTCAAGATGTGCAATACCTGGGACAAAGGGAGTGATCAAGCTCCCTCAAGCCGCCTTCTAGCCAGTTGAACCCTATTCACATCCCCTCAGGAGGGTGCTAAGTGGTTATTCTTTACCAGGAATTCTTGAAAACACCCAGTGAGGTAAAAAGACATTTTACTTCCTGATTCTGCCTTGGAGCTACAGGTTTTTTGCGCTCAGACAGCTGAGTAGGTATCAGTAACAACAGTTATTAGCGTGTTGGTCACAGTGGCAGCACAAGGAAGTTCCATGCCTAATCCAGGGGGGGTTGAATTCTGCAGAATCGCATGACTAATTGCTTTTAAACCTGCAGTTAGTGTCCTATTAGATCACCACAGCTGAGCAGAGAAACAGAGTGGAGCCGGGCTGAGGTACTTTGGGTTATCCTTGGCACTGCAAGAACTTGGGCCCATGTCACAGCAGATGAGGCACAGTGAGGCTGAAGGAGGAATTCACGAGCACAGTCTGGACCAGCTGCAAACTGAACAAAAGCATCAGGTTTTGAATTCTGCAGGCAAGGTTCTTTTAACTCCTGCTCTTGATACTGTCCCTTGCTCAGCATACCCTCAAAGGCCAGCTCCATTCTGACCACAAGTCCAGCAACGCGTGCCTTCAGGTAGCACCCACTGTTCTGGGAACAAGAAGGCAAGACCATTGACAGCACAAAGCACAAAACTGCCATCTTCACTGCAAGAGGATCTGTGACCTTCATAATAATCTTTTCCAGACTTGCCTCTGGCAGCTCCTTATTTGGAGCTCTACCAAATAAAAGCAAACACAAAACCCAGGGTTTTCTTATCTGTTCATGTAGAGCTACTCCAGCAGCTCATTCCTGGGCTCCAGGGGAGGAGAACATTCCTTTTAGGAGCGAGATGAAGCTTTATTCTTCCCCAGCACGGCCACTTCCAGGCAGGTTCACTGTCTCTGGCTAGCCCTTGGAGAGTTCTCACAGCGTTACTCTGACAACTTAACAGAACTTGCACAAGAGGACTTCAAACTTCATACCCCAAGGGAAGAAAACA